TGTGTGGAAATGATAGTATCACCCTACAGTTTACACGTGTGGGTGCTATTTAGTACCTATAAATGACTGAAAATCCCACAGTTTGAAATTACACATTTATCCAAAACTTATTAAGGAATTTTTATACTCTTTTTGGAATGTTTGAAGAATATCATATTTCAAGTCATTCTAAATCAAAAAGATTTTTATATCAGAATCCACCCCAAATTTGAATGCCAACACTCCATCCCAATTTTTTTTTTCCATATTAGAAGATTTTATGCTCAATGGAAATCAATGTGGACATACACAGTATTACATTTTCTTTGATAGCATGTTTAATGTGAAACAATGTAGACATATATGGTGTGACATTTTTGTTTTTTTGTTTGTTTTGGTGTGGTGCCACGAGATTCACTCAATTAATTTTCATAAAATAAATGACTGAAATCCCCACAGTTTCAAAATACTTATTTATTCAAAATTTATTAAGGTATTTTCGTACTTCTTTTAAAAAATTTAAAAAATCTCACATTTTAAGTCATTTAAAATAAAAAATATTCCCGCGTCAGAATCTGCCCTAAATTTGAATACCCGCACCCGAGTCCAGATCCACTGCAATTCTTTCCTGCAATGCTTCTCTGTAGTGTCCCAAAACGATGTCGTTTTGGGGCAAAACTTTAAAAAAAATATAACCACCAGCAGCAGATAAAACCCTCCATTGTCTTCTCCGTTCTAGTTTGCAGAGAGATTTTCATCTTCTTCCTTCCAGATTTCTCTCACAGTTCTTTCAATTTCACACATACATCTTATTGATAATCTGATTTCGATTCACACCTACAATGTTTAGATATAATTTTTGTAGTTGATGATGATGCAAATCACCATCCTTCCCTGTGTTTGTAATTGCAATATCTTGTATAAATAATCTTGTAGATCTTATCATAAATTCCAACTTCCATGAAATAATTGTTCCCCCTCCTTCTTCTTCTCTAAAAGCTACAAAGCAATCCCATCTCTGATTAAACCCACCTCTCTCTCTCTGACTTCTAAACCCACAAAGCAAACCCACATTAAACCCACTTTTTAATTGTAGCCACCATATAAAGCAAACTCATCTCTTTTCTACTCTCTACTAAACCCACTTCAGTGATTTCAATTTTTTTTTGGTCAAATCGTTTGTATGTTTGTTTGTTTTGATATATATATATATATATATATCCTCTCTATGTTTGTCTAGATCTAGAAGGAAAAGAAAGAAAGAAAGAAACGAAGAGGAAAAGGAATGAGGGGGAGGTGCAGCTAGGAAGGACCGCCGGAAGAGGAGAACGATTGGGGTAGGGTCGTTGAAGGGATTGGGGGTCGCCAAAGCTGGGGTTGGAGGTGGCTAACAATGGGGCTGTTTTGGTTGTGCTTTGTCTCCTGATGCTGCTTGTTTTTTTTTTTAAGCGCCCCAAAACGACGTCGTTTTGAGGCACTGCACGAAAGGATTGCAGGAAAAACTTGCAGAGGATCTGGACTCACCCGCACCCTACCCAAAGAGGATTTTCATACCAGAAGATTTTATATTCAAAAGAAATCAATGTGAACACGGCAATGTTAATTTTTGTTTTTTTTTGATAGCATGTTTAATGTGAAATAACGTGGACTCGTATAGTGACATTAATTTTTTTCGTTTTGTTTGTGTGCGCGGGCGCAAGGCATTTGTGTCACTAGATTCACTCAATTGAATTTCATAAAATAATATGTTATGTATCTTACATTTTCAGCACAAAAAAAAAAAAAAAAAAGAAGAAATGTAATGGAAATAAAAGTATAATCGTAAACTTAATTTCCAAAGAATATATTAAATTCATATTTTCAAAATTAATGGGACTAATTAATTTATAAAAAAAACCCTTTTGACTAAATGGATCATATTCCTCAAGATAAGATTTATGAATAAATTTTCATTCTTTTTTCACTGTGAGATTTTAATAAAAAATTATTTAGTACTCTAGGGACACCATGTGACCATATCTCTAACCAATCATAAATTATCATGATTTTTATTATTCTCTAATTATCAAATACAAAATTATAATAAATCATATCGTATTTATCGATCACAATACACATAAAACGCTACATGATGATGCTCAAGAACCACTGAATAATTTATCGAGGACAATGTTCAATTGCTGAGAAAAAATATTTCAGAAATTTAAATTAAGAGTTCTAATGGAACTCTAGGGTGGTTGGAACCAATTAATGTGATGTTTTGATTTTTTTTTCATTGTTAAGGTGTCGTCTGGTAACATTTCCGTTTTCAGTTTTTTGTTTATATTTACAAAAATTAAAAAAACTTAAATAAAAATTTGTTTGGTAAAATTTTTGATTTATAAATCAGTGGTCTCAGTTTATAAATTTGGCCAAAAAATAAAAACGCAAAAAATATGTTTTTGTTTTGAGTTTTGAGTTTTTTTTTTTTTACCATCCAACACTAGCCACCACCCACCATCATTTTCCACCACCGTCTTCCGCCACCACCACCCACCCCTTACCACCACCTGCCACCACCACTCACCACCCGCCACCATCACCCACCAGCCACCACCGACCTGTCACCCACTCACCACCACCACAACCCACCCCTCACCACCACTACCAACACCACCACCTACTTCCACCTGCCCTAACCACCACCACCTTTGCCGGCCACTAACACCACCATCAGTTACCAACCATCTCCACCGTTGCCGATCTATACTTCATCATCTCCGATTCACCGCCACTGTTTACCGATACCTTCGCCATTGCCAATTTACACTATGCCATCGCTGATCTATACTCCGTCCTAGATCTACATTGATCTCATTATTTCTACTGTGAAATCAACTTCAAACGACTGCAAGCAACATTGATTCTCCAAATCTCCCTCCCTCCCTCTATTTCTCTCTCTCTTTCTTTCTATTTCTCTCAAACCAAATCTGTTGCAAACAAAGGTTTAACATATCAGTGCTAAATTTATCAATGATATATGTCTTTGAATCTTGTGTTGGTTTGTTACGATGATGATGGGATTTTCTTTTTGTAATTTTTTAACAAACCACCCGCCACCATCACCACCACCACCACCACCCACTCGCTACCACCCGCCACCGTCACCCACCCACCCACCATCACCACCCGTCACCACCTAGCACCACCCGCCATCTGCCACCTACATGTCACCACCACCCACTCGTTACCACCCACCACCCGCCACCGTCACCCATCCACTCACCACCACCACTCGCCACCCACCTGCCACCACCCCCGCCACCACCACCCCACCCACCTACCACCACCACCTACCCGCCACCGCCCATCACCACCCGCTACCCGCCACCTACCGTCACCATTTTCCACCACCGTTTTCTGCCGCCACTTGCCACTACTTGCCATTTCTCACTATTTTTTATATTTTAAAATTTTTTTAAACATTTTGTCAATTACCAAACACGTTTGTAGTTTATATTTTTCTAAAAATAAATAAAAATTAATTTATAAAATTTTTATAAATATAAATTAAAAACATAAACGTTATCAAAAACACCCTAAATGTATAAAACCCATTTTAAAGGTTTATTTTTAAGAGATGGATCATTGCCCATTGCTGATGCGAGGGTGATTAATTTAAAGACAGAATCAACATAATCTGTTTCACATCATCAGTTTGTCACAAACAAATATTTATTGATGTAGAGTCTACTACGACTCTTTGACGCTTTATTCGAGGAGCTTTATGTGAAAGAGGGTAAAGGACCCCACACGCCATATAAGCCCTCTCCTCTGAAATATTCAAACAAAACCAGCAACAGGAACGGGGGTTTGATGTTCCTTCGTCAAACCCTTTTGGGTTTAAACCCAAGCCTCCAGATTTCCACATTTTTCCCTTTCTTTGACTTTGATTTTGCGTACAATTCAAGCACACCTCGACATTCTTAAAGTTTTTTGTTTTTTCTTTTTGTTTATATATTTTTTCTCCATAGGTTTTCATACAGATCTTTGGACTTCGTCTTCATTTCTTTTGAACACTTTTTGGTTTGGTAGATTGTTGTTTGTGTTGAAAGAAATAGAGGGTATGGTTGAGAATTTCTCTGTTCGACTGTAATTGTATTGTCTGAGGCTGCTTTTGGGCTGATTATCTGATCTGGCTCTTTTCTGCTTCCACCATTCCTGTTTGATGTGAGTCACTCATCAGATAAAAATGATTTCTTTATCTTTATATCTTTATTTTTAATCTGAAAAATGAATATCATGGGCACATTGAGCTTGTTTCTTTCTTTCTTCTTTTTTTTTTAATAAAATTTTTACTGGAATTGAGACATGTCAAGAAATTTTGTGATTGTTATTTGGAATTGAGACATGTAGGGCATCAGCAACATTGCGTCTGGTGCGTTTATGGGTTTTTCATTTTCCTATTTTGTTTATTGTTAATATGATGTTGTCTTGTCGCTCATTTGATGAAGAGTAAATTTGTTCGTTTGGGTTGAATTTGGATGCCTAGTTGTTCAAATTGAGATTCGCATGCCCATTTGTTGATTCTCCAGATGTAATCTGCATACAGTGAGTGGTGGTAGGTAGTCCATGCAGTATTCCTGATACCTATTCTGTTTTCTTGCAATGTTAATTTAAAACCAATTTTAATGATTGAATTGCATGAAATTTTTATGCATTCTTTTATTTTTATGGAAATCTTGGTTGAAGCTGCCATGTTAGAGAGATGAATTATTCCAACGGACCTGCAATTTCAAAGCTTGGGAGGTTATATGTAGGGACGGTCATTTTCTCCCGCCCCGCGGCGCCTGGGTTTTTCCCGCCCTGTTGAGGAAGTGGGGCGGGGACGGGTTTTGCTTCCCAACCCCGTTTTGCCTGTCCTCCACCCTGATTATATATATTAAATATATTTATATGTATATAATATCTATAATTAAAATTTTTTACTATAATAAATTTAAAATACTAAAATATTATACTTAATATTAATTTTTAGTCATTTAATTTTTATCTTATATTTTATAATTCTCATTATTTATAAATCATTATCCGTAATATACTGTATTATCTATAATTTTTATTAATATATTCATTCTTCAACTTGCAAAATTAACTCATCTCCCGCCCCGCCACCGCCACTGCCACCCCTGATTTGCTCCGCGCCCGATATGATACGGGATGGGGATGGATTACTACAAACCTGCCCCCAACCCGTCCCATGACAGTCCCTAGTTATGTGAATTGATAGTTGTCTTTCGAATATGCTTTACATTATGCAATCATTTAGGTTAGCAATGCAAACACATACAACTTAATTGTAAAAGTCATCTTTTCAACTGTGGCATTGGTTATGAAGTGTGGGGTAGACAATTCAAATTTGATGCAAAATTAAATTTCCATGATAGCCTTTCCTTTTAGCACCTGTTCTGTATAATTTAGTTGGAAATTAGTTGCAAATTGCAATGTTTTTCTTATCATATTTTGTTGATAATTCTTAACCATATAAGAGAAACAAAAAGAAGAACTGCTTACGAAGTAGTTCAGAATTGAAATGTAAACCTATTATGTTTTTTTGTATACAACTAAGGTTATTGGGAATTGGGATCAATGGGGTATCTAAAATAATCAAGCTTCTGTGAAGCGAAGTCCCACATTGCCTGAGTATTAAAGTAATATTAAACATATAACCGTGAGGGCACCCTCACCTTAAGAGCTGGCTTTTGGGGTGAGTTCTACCCAAGACCGTGTAACATGGTATCAGATCTGGAGTACTTAGGGAGCGGTAGGGTGCGTGTCCCTGGCCTGCATGCTGCAAGTGCTTCCGAGTGAGCACATTGGGCGTGAGGGAGGGTATGAAGCGAAGTCCCTTGTCACCTGAGCACTAAAGTAATATTAAGCATATAAGTGTGAGGGCACCCTTACCTTAAGAGCTAGCTTTTGGGGTGAGTTCTACCCAAGACCGCGTAACAGCTTCTACATTATCTTTGACAGTCATAGGATACCTAATTGTTCTTTTGTTTGAACAAATGATTTTGTGCAGGTAAAAGCTTCCTTGATCATGCACAGATAACAGTTTACATAATGGGTTGGCTTAGCAAAATTTTCAAGGGCTCAAGCCACAAAGTTTCAGAAGGAAAATATAATAGGAATGTGGGATATGGAGAAGACACACTCGGGTGTGAACCTTCAAGTTCAGGGGTAAATTGGTTGCTTGTTCTTGCCATCTCTTTCTTCTATTGCTACTTATGAGCTACTATAAAGTTGCGTGACATAATTTCCTAATTTCAAGTTAATTGAAAAGGTTTGAGGAGATAGGCCTAATCATTCTTTCCCTTATGATATTTTTGGTCTTTTTAACCCTTCGTGAAATGGTGGAAATATTTGTCAATTGTCTACCAGATTTCTTTTTAGCTCAATCATTGTTGACCTACTTTATTAGGATGCATGGGCAGAGATTGAAGATATTGATCATGCTATTGCACTATCCCTTTCAGAAGAAGATCGAAAAAGTAAAAACATTGTTGGTGAGTGATTTTGTCCTTGGTGATATCCATGAACACTTGACAACAAATGTATGCTATACTATGAGTTTGATTTGTACTTTGGGCTTAACAGGTAATTTTAAAAGCTGACTTGGTAGGGTTTAGCCAGTGGTCATTGTAGTATTAAAAGCTTACAAGATTGGGAATTTTTTGCCATAGTAATATCTTGTGAAATCAGTTTAGTTTGAGGCACACCATCGCTGTACTTTCCTCTCAGGCTGAGATTAATTTTTTTTCTATCAGAACCACATGCTCGCATAATATAGGGATACACAATACAGGACAGCTGTTTAGCAATCACAATGCTACTTTTGATCTCCTTTTTTAAATCCTTTCATTCCTGTTAGACCCTTAATTCATACTATTATGTGGAAACTTACACATTTTTTGAAATAAAGATATATACAAATTGACAAGAAAAATACAATAGTCTAATGGAGAATTAAATCTACTTGGAAATGGGTCTGAAGCAATCATTCATAATGTTGGTATTATATATTTTAGTAATTAATATAAAATTAGGCATAGATTATAGTTTATATATCTGATGCACATTACAAAAATACCCTAATCACTGGCATGAGAAAATTCTTTGACCAATTAATTGTAAGCCATGAAGTATCAACACTTCAAAATAAGTGCCGTAGCTGTGTTGGACACGAGGACACGGAGGGGACACATATGGGACATGCCATGTGGTGTATCCCTTTTATTTAATTAATTAATTAATTAATTTTTTTTTCAGGAGACACATTGGGGACTCTTCAGGGACACACATGCGGCGTGCCCCTTTTGATAGATGTTGGATATTGAATATTTATTCCTTTTCGCTTAGATTTAATATTTAATAGATCATCCATAAAAAGATATGAACGATTAGTGTTAATTTAAAAGTGACTTTTAAATTTTTTTTTGATATTGAATTAGTATTAGTTTTTGTTAATTTTGATAGTTTGTGGATGCAATATTAATCTACATAGCAAATAAAAATATATGAAAAAATATTTTATTGCCATGTCCTGGTCATGTCCATGTTCGTGTCCCCATTTTTTGAAATAATCGCGTCTCGTGTCCGCATTTGTGTTTGTGTCCATGTCGTACTTCTTAGATTGTAAGTTTGGGATAACATCCCATCAGGAAAATGGTGTCATAAAACTTCATTGGTTCGACAAAGGGGCCGGGCAATGGTTTAGAAATGGGCATCCCAGTGCATGAGGTTCTTTCTATTGCGGAGTCTAAGAAGTCAAATGTACCCGACTTACACTTGCATGCAGAGAGGCAAACCAATAATTTGGATCATCAAAAAAGACATTGTGAATGGAACTGAAATGCATGCTTCTCTTTTTGCGGTTAATTCTTAATTGCCTCACTTTAGAGGTTTACCTTTACCGTACTGAGTTGTTTTATGTCATAGAGTACATTTGCTTTTTGTTGAAGGCTGGTTTGATGGTGTTAATTAAGCATCTGCAAATGTAGTGATGAGTTCTCTCAGCTCTATGCTTTGAATATCTTTCCTGTTTTTTGTATCCTCACTATATAACTTGCAATAATATGTTTTACATATATTTTGACAGATAATGAATACCAATTGAAAGATGATGAACAACTTGCCAAAGCTATACAAGAAAGTTTGAATGTTGAATCTCCACCCCAATATCCCCAATATGGAAATGAAAATATTTATCAGCCCATACCTTTCCCGTATTCAACAGGGTTCAGGTAGATGAGTTGCTTATGGCTATTATACTGTGTCTCTCACTTCTGATTGCAATTTGTTTAATCAGTTCCTGGTTTCTTTGAGTATGTTAATGCATCACATATTTTCCCCCCTGTTTTATCTTTTCTTTTCTATGTAGAAAGCATATTAGAGTTAATTGGATTTCATTACCTCTAGTTGATTGATCTTATTCTTTCTCTCTCTCTCTCTCTCTCTCTCTTTTTTTTTTTTTTTTGGTCACTCGACATACATGGAGTAAAGGTTAGTTGTTTGTTGTTAGTAGGGGAAGGGGGAGAACACCTCTCCATAGGATTTAAACCAGTAAGCTCACACCACAAAGGGGAGCTACACAACCACTAGGCCAAAGGCCTTGGTTGATTGATCTTATTATCTCTCCGACACTGTTTTCTATACTGTGAGATATACTTGACCTCATTAATTTGGGTCCTGTCACTTATGCCTTTAAGGTAGACCCCCCTTTTTTTTTTTTTTTTTTTTTTTTTTGTGATTATTAATGAGAACATAATGTATTGCAAAAATGAAGAAACTTCAAAAAAGGGCTGCACCCATTGTTGGCAAATCACGAATCGAATCGTTAATCGTTTTGTTAAAGGCCGATGGTGATGGGTTGGTGGTGTGTATTGAGAAATTTAGATTTAGGTTTTGTCCAAGAAGGTAATTTGCTTAAGGGACAAAAATGTAATCAAAAAAAATTTGAGAAATGGTGTGTACTGAAATATCGACGGGTGTGCACTGAAATATTGACTGGTGTTCGAATAGAATTTGCCTTTGGTCTATCACACATTCACACTCAATTATTTTATGTACTTGGATCCTCATATGGTTCTCTTAATTTATTTCTTCTAAATTTTTTGGAGTTCTAAAGTTATAAAGATCAGGCCTTTACAGCATCTACCCATAGTTATTAACTAAAAGAGATTCTTAATATTTTTTTCATTGATTTTGAAAACCTTTTTCACTTAGAATTATGCTTATGCATTTTGAAAGATGTGGCATTCAGATAAACTATATGAAGATCATTGCTAGCAGTGGCAGTTAATAAGTGAGATGTTTTTCTTTGGCCATCAGACAGTTTGAATCAGAGATTCACTCAGTAGAGAATTTAGCAACATATGATTTGTTAGGATCTGTTAGGATTTGCATGATTTTAACATGTTGAGGTAATTAGTAGGAAAGATTGGAGAAATGAAATGAACAGGAGGAAACTAAAAAATGCGAAACTGTTATAATGTTGTTAACTGAAGCAATTTGGTTGCTGTATGATTAGGTAGAAAGATTACAATATGTGGTATTTTTTGCGGGCTATTCCAAAACCCTGCCCTGGGAGAGGTTTTTGGGATCAATTTTCTTGGTCACATTTAGGTTTAAAACACTGCTGTGATGTTAAAACTTTTTAAACGGGATGGAAGGTGCTGATTAAGTCACATTTTGGCAGAACAATGAAAATTCGTTAAAGAAGGACAACCACCGTCTTCAATATGATTACTATCTTTAATATGATTTTGTGTATAGTGGGACTTCAATTTCTAACCCTATGAACATGGAAAAAAGGATTTTTTTTAAAGATTTTGACCATGCATCAATAGTACTGTCCATAAACTAGCTGTCACAGTGTCATATAATTGCTATCTTTTCTCTTTTGTTAGGATATGTGCTGGTTGTAACACCGAGATTGGTCATGGAAGATTTTTGAATTGCATGGGTGCAATTTGGCATCCAGGATGTTTCCGATGCCATGGCTGCAACCAACCAATTTGTGATTATGAGGTACGAGAACTACTCTGTCTAGGCTGTCAAAGTAGTGTAGTTCTTTTTTGATTTTTTTCTGGCTTTAATGACAATTATAATTTCAGTGGTGTAGTGTGCTAAGTTTTCCGTTTATTGTTTCTCCCATAGTTCTCTATGTCTGGGAATTATCCTTATCACAAGTATTGCTACAAGGAGCACCATCACCCAAAATGTGACGTTTGCAAACATTTTGTAAGTATCTTCAGAGAATAGAGCATTAAGAAATATCCTGTTGGTTCTGTGTTGCACAATCTGGTTCTATTACTAATGGAGCGAAATAATATTTCCTAGTTGCCTAGTTTTATTTTTTGGAAGCTATGTTACGTTTTTTCATGTTGTCTTCTCTTGACTTGTAAATACTGAGTGATCGTTTTGATGTTTATAATTTATAAACCTGAAGTATAAATTAGAGATGTTATACTAAGACATATATTAATATTTATATATTGTAGTGTCGAAGAACTAGAATACTGTGGTGCTTGGGTGTGGTGGTTTGTAGTTTGAATCTAAGTGTGCCGTTATTCTCCATCCTAGGGTGGCGAATCACCCACTAGATCGCAACTTCGCAAACTGATGGTGAGTGTAGTTGTCAAATTGAGAACTGCATCGTGAATCAAAATCCTAATTTTGTGAATCATGGATCAAATCGAATCATAAGATTTGGCACAAACTATAAAAAAAATATATTAAACATTTGTATATTTTAAAAAGATAAAATAAATTGATGTGGACACGTGTTATAGAATAGTTCTTATATTGGAAGTGATTAAACCCATAATTGAGTTAATATTGCTGTCATAGCGAGATGTGGGTCCAAATTACACCAATCATAAAATTATTTAAAAATCGTAATATGTTCTTTGTTGACATTCAAAACATGAACCTAGAAACTCTAAAATGGAGTAAAATATGAAGAAAGAGTAAGTGACAATCCTTTATTTTAAAACCTAAACACTTTTAGAAGGTATGCATGTTTATTGTTAAAAAAATAAAAAACAGTTGTAGAACCATTTTGTCTGACTAACCTGATCCATGTGATATTGAACTATGTTTATTTCACCAAAATAACAATATGGGTGCAAGTTAGTTTGGCCATAAACATCCTTACAACATTTATTTTGATATTTTTCTGAGAAGAAAATGAGAAAAAAGAGTTTAAGAATATATTGGGTCTAATTGGATGGATCCTATTAAATACTTTGATCACCAAAATAATAAGATATCATGCATAGCTATTGGTTATTTTCGTATAATCATACCAAACACTTTTGGAAGTTATCACGATATTTTCACTTAAAAAAGAGGTAAAAAGGAGTCGGCATATGTTGGGTCCTACAATTTCAAGAATTATATGTATTGTTAACCATGAATAGATTCATGAATTAAATTGTGAATCATGCTATTCATCATTGATTCTATCCCAAAATAGAGTCCCCATAGATTCACATCGATCTATGCAGGAACTATAAATCAAATCGTGAATCGTAAAATTTTGAATCTCTGATAATAACGATGGTGACAGTAGCCAAAGTTAATGCTAATTCAATTGTGCAATTGGTGAATTAGAGAGGAATCCATGTTTTCGGTGAATTAGTAATTGACATGGGACTATAAGTTGTAACACGCACCTAGTTGATCGTAGTAGTGTTATACAAAGAATAAGATTTGTACATTAGGACTATCCAAAAGGTGTTGTGCAAAAAATTATTGTAAATTACACTCCCACCCCCTAAAGTATGAGTCATTTCTTACTTTGGTCCTTAAGGAAAAGGTTCTTCCACTTTGATCCATAAACTATTTGTTGTTTCTCACTTTTCTCAAATTATCAACTTCCGTCATGGTTAAGGGATAATTTAGGAATTTCAAAAATTAATTTTCTCATTGTGGCCCTGAAAAATTAAGGTAGCATTTGGTAGAGTTTTAGAATTATGATTTGAGAGTGGAGTTGTATTTTGAGTTTGTGAATTTTGGAATTATGATTTGAGTGTGGAAAATTTGATTGGTTATGAGTTTTCAATTGAGTTTGAAATTTTTGATCTGACATATGATATTTGATTCAAAAATTTATAACTCATAACCAAACACACAATCCCAAATTTTATTCAAAGCTCATAAATTTTTTTTAAAAAATTTCGAAAATATTTTTTTATTTAAAATATAAAAATAATAGGTGCCCAAAAATATAAAAAAAAGAACAATAAAAAGAACACTATTCTGGTCAACCGGCCAGACGACCGGCTGGACGTCCGGGAAGACGTGTTTTTAAAATGGGTATGGAATAAATTTTTGAAAACTCTAACCAAACACCACACTCAAATTAAGGTGTGGAATCAACTTTTCAAAGCTTTACCAAACACAGCCTAAGTTTTCTCACTTTTGTTCCTTAAAAAGGAGTTCTCCCTTATTTATTTATTTATTTATTTTTTATAATTTATCAAAAAAAAAAAGAGTTCTCACTTTGGTCCATAAATCCAAACCTAACCTAATCTGAAAACCATCCCCACCCCCCTAACCCACCTAAACTCAAAATTTGACTTTATATTGGAGGACAAAAATGAAAAAAAATTTCAATGGGTGTATGTCATTTGAGGAGCAAAGAGGTTGCGAATTGAAGAGTGAAAGCTGGTGGAGGAAATCAAGTGATGGGTTGGGAGAAGGGAGGCGGTCAGTTGTGGGGTTGGGGTAAGGGGGACTTTGGTCCATAAATCCAAACCCAGCCTAATTGGAAACCATCCCCACCCCTAATCCACCTAATCTCAAAAGCCAACTTTATATCTGAGGACGAAAATGAAAAATTCATTCGAGTAGCAAAGAGGCTGTGAATCAAAGTGCGGAGGCTAGTAGTGGAGGAAATTAGGTAATGGGTTAGGAGAGGGGAGGTGTCAGTTGTGGGGCGTTGGGATAAGGAAGGGTGGTTGGTTAGGGACTAAAGCGGGAACATTTTTTTCTTTATGGACCAAGTGAGTTATGGCCCATACTTTAGGGGAGTATAACAGTTAGAATTTTTTAAACCAAAGTGGGAAGATTTGATAGTTAGGGACCAAAGTAAGAAAATGGTCATACCTTAGGTGATGAAAGTGTAATTTACCCAAAAATTTACCGATTCCTAGCACTAGTCACACAAACAATTATTATGTAGCAACACATATCACATTTTATATTCAAGAAGGAATGAATGCATAAAAACTTAAAAATACTTGAATATGTATATATACATATACACGTGTATAGTTATATATGTGTGTGTGTAAGGGTTTTAGAGGGTCGCTTTGGGTTGGTTTTGGGGGAAAATATTAACCAAACCACCTTTGGTGGATTGAGAATTTTTCAACCTGTTGTCTACCCAACCATCATTAGCATTGGCAGGTTGGTTGAATGTTTTGGTGGTTTCAAACCAATGGTTTGAGCAAGTTTGGTGGGTAAGCAATACAAAATGAAAAAGAATATCAGTGAATATACAAACTTATTATTATATTTCTTTTCGTAATTTCAAACAAAAAATTTATTATTTATCCAAATCCGGACACAAAATTCACAAATTAATTGAATGTATAATGTTACTTAAAATCATATTTTACAAATTAACATACAAAGAAATCAAACTAGAAAAGAAAAAGCAATGAAAATGAATGGTGGGTGTCATTTGATTAGTGGTGATAGGGTTAGGGAGTAATTGTGTGGGCAAGTGGAAGATAATTTTGCATATACATACAGGCGGGTTGGGTTGGTTTGTTGGCGGTTGACAGATATTAACCCACCAATCAACCAATGTGCCAATTTTTGTCATCTAATCCACCAACACAACTCGACCCTCTCACCTCAAATCACATGAGTTGGTTTGGATTGGTATGGTTTTCTTGCACACCCCTATATGTGTGTCTAGGATTATATAAATACGCTCTAAAAGCACTCTTGCTCTCTAGCTATATTTACCAAGGGCACTCTTGCTATGCAATCATAGTTTCAAAAAGTGGCAACAGCTGTTGTGTAACATGTTACGCTATGGTTTTAGTGGTTACTGGCATCCGTTACAGTCGTTATAGCAGTGTGATAGAAATTCTTATCCGTAATGGCCATTACGTTAATGCCTCTTACATTGCCGTTACAATACTGTTGCCATTGTTACGAGTGGTATGCTTGTATTTTATTTTATTTTATTTTATATATAAGGCCATTTTCTCATTTTTTTTTTTTTTTTCTAGTTGTTAAAATCGTACAAAAAAAATATAGAACTTATGCCAAAAAGTCTTAGATCTACAAGTTTTGGATGTCCAATCTTCAAATTCTACGAGACTTGAGTTACTATCAAAGTTAAATGAGCTTACTTCTCTCTCTTCGAACTTTCATTACTTTTTTATTGACAAGCTTTCATTAATTTTTCATTTTCTTATTTGAATATTAACTTACATTATATCTATATTTGCTCTTAGGTCAGATCTATTGTACAAAATTTGTATATCGTTTCAGTACTTTTACATTAGTATGTTGATATTTTGTATTATGAACTTATGTTTATGAAACAGGCTTCATTTTTTTTCTTAACAAGTGGGAAGTTATCTATAAGAGTAAAGTAAATAAAATTAAATACGTCCAACAATAGAAGAAATCCCTATAGTGACGAAAAACTAATATAAAAAATTGGATCATATTTAAAACTAGATAAAACACACCGAAAATCATTTTGAACATCACTAAATGTGATACTGAAATAAAAACATGTGTATTAGTATGTTTTCTTGGAGTTGTGTGAAGAATTAAAAAAATTATGACTCTGGTTGTTGCCACCGTTACACTATGGCTATTACATCCCATGGTTGTGTCAACGCTTGCCGTTACCGTTATGGTAGCCACCGCCGCTATTGCTTCCTCTATACGTGCATTTACGTTGAACTTCAATCATTGAAGTGGGAGATACCATGCCTTTGATTTGCAAGATTAAACAATAGTGGTCAGTAACATTGGAGTGATCTCTGCTTTGCATGTTTAGTGAATGTATCTTTGGAATCCAACCTTAAGAGCCTGTGAGGAACAATGCATTATGTGTTGATTTCTTTGTAGTTAGTTGTTTTTCTGAAATATCTGCATTTAAACTTCTTATTTCTGAGCTAAGTCAGTCCAAAATGATGTTACAAGGTGATAATTAGAAACCATGTCATATCCTGGTGTTGAGATGATTGTTGGGGTTGGATGGGCAGGGGGGCTTATACTCAGCATGCCCGCTGTTTTAGAACTTCCGCAGACTAGAGAGTTAAGGGGAAAACCTTGTTTAAATGGACAAATTCTTATATCCCCAATTCCCCATATAACTTATGTCGTTGCATTGGGGTCTTCAAAATGATTGGTGTTCTCATAATGTATATTAGGTTTCCTGAATGTCATATCATATGAAATTTGACAAATTAGATATTCAATTTGCTTCTTTTATTGTTTCAAAAACTTTTTGTCATGTCTTGTTGATCCTTCGGAAGTTATGCCATATGTTTTTTTCTTTTCAGATTCCAACAAATGCTGCTGGCCTTATTGAATATAGGGCACATCCTTTCTGGATCCAGAAATATTGCCCCTTTCATGAACATGATGGGACTCCTCGGTGCTGTAGCTGTGAGCGTATGGAGGTCAGATTGAATGAACTACCATTGAACTAGCAACCTTTTTGGGAGCATTTCATTGATGGAAAGGGGCAATCTTGTTCCTATTCCACTTGATTCCATTGTTTCTTCACACAAATGATATTGGAAATCTCATTTCTTCAGGAATAAGATATCCCCAGATGGTGGGTATCTTATTCTTGTCAGGAGTGGTATTCTTATTCCCCTTCCTATTGGAATTAAAGCATGAAATTAGTCTGATGACCATATAAATTGAGCCATTTAGGAACTAATAAATAAGTTAATCAGAATATATAAGCCTCGATGTGTTTTTAATTCATATTTTTGAATGATTAACTTATTTATTAGTTCTTAAATGGCTCAATTTAAGAATATTAAGTTTTCGAAGGCTTCATTGAGGATCGCCTTGAGGCGATGCTAATTTAAAACACATTGAGGCTTTGATTTTTTGTAGACACTCTTGAAAAGCTTGCGGATTACAGTCTGAAATGTGTGCCTTGAGCTCCTTTGCGCATAAACACGCGAATAAACATATGAGAAGTACACATTTGAAAAGCTTGTTTGGAGTTGTTAAACATAAGTTTAATACATGGTTTAAACATAAAAAGGAAGATATCCTTTTGTAACTATGTTCCTTGGGAAAAATCAAGTGAAAAATCTACCGAGAAAAAACATAAGGCTAAGGCTCAAGTGAGAAGTTCGATGACTGAAATTAAGAATGTTATTTTCACCTTTGATTAGGCAAACTTTCTACATGTTCGACGCGTTGAGGATAAAAGTATTTACACCTTTATATTTAAATTTTAATAACTTTTTGCTATTGCAAAGTATTTTTTTTGTTTACTACATATAAAAATTTAAAATTCAAAATGCTTACGCCTCAATGCCTCCTTCAAAATGCTTACACCTCAATGCCTTGAGGCTTATGCCTCGCCTCATGAGGGGGTAAAATGGCTCATGTTACATATTTGTCTTCAAAGACTTTAGCTAGGCCTACAATTGGACTCAAGCTCCCCTGTTGTTCACCATCTACACTTGGACATTTTATAATCTGGTTTGTATGCCAAATTTTGGATCCCCATTCCTATGGGTGGGAATTTTCGGCACAATACAACTCAAACCGTACATAAAGTTAAAGAGTTAGGGTTGACCATTTTCTGGCACGAACACGAATATGACGTGACTTGAAAACATCAATATTAAATGAGTGAGGTTAGTGTGGAACTTGCATGACATGAAATTGACTCAGATAACCCGTTTAATGAGGATTAGTTACACATTTTAATGTTACTTCTAGTAAGGAGTGCCATGACCTTTTTGAATCCCTTGTGTAACTCATCTAGAGGATTAAAAAATATGTAGATAGAATTTGAAGGTTAATATAGTTTTCTTTTTTTTAATAGAAGATAATGTATTTGTTGTCTACTATTTTAGAGATTATTTTCATGAAATTTAACCTGTGGAGAAATTTTTTAATTTTTCTACACTTGGTATTTTTAACTTAAGAGTGAGAGTTTTTGATATGACACGTTTACATAACATGAACCAGACGAAGATTGAAAATGACACGACATGATAACATGAAATAATAAATGGGTTTGGTTAGTTTTGACATGATTCTAACATGAACTTGAAATGACACGACATGAACATGAGCGAACGCCACACAACACTCAGCATGGTGTCCAAGAAAAAATCCATTTTGACTTTGGTTTTTTTGATGAAATGTTTACATAGATCTTTGTTCATCATTTGTAGCCACGGGAAACAAGATATGTTGCCCTTGATGATGGTCGGAAGGTCTGCTTAGAGTGTCTGGATTCTACAATCATGGATACTAATGAGTGTCAACCCCTTTATCTTGATATACAAGAATTTTATGAAGGCTTGAATATGAAAGTAGAGCAGCAGGTTCCATTACTCTTGGTAGAGAGGCAAGCACTGAATGAAGCCATGGATGGGGACAAGAGTGTAAGGAAAATCTGTTATCATTATCACACAATGATTTTATCTCTTGAAGGGAAGAAAAGCTTATATGCTGGTTCTTTCTTTTGGCCAGGGCCATCATCACATGCCTGAGACCAGAGGACTCTGCCTTTCTGAGGAACAAACTGTCAGTACTGTAAGTAAGCTGCTTTTTTTTATTTTTTTAAATTTCGTTTTTCTTGTTTTTTTTGGTTTGTTTCTTTTCCTTCAGAATCATTGAGTTTGGTATGATCACTTACTTTCTGTTTGTATCTTATTTACCCTGAAACTGACCAGATTTTGAGCCGTCCAATAATTGGGACCAGAAATAGAGCCATGAACATGATAACAGAACCCTATACGCTCACGCGGCGTTGTGAGGTCACTGCAATTCTAATTTTATATGGCCTTCCTAGGTACTCTCTCTCTCTCTCTCTCTCTCTCTCTCTCTCTGTTTTACAATTTATGATAGAAGGGATTACGTGATAGGCAATTAATCAGTCTGTATAAAAGGTCATGAAAGAAGAATATATGCTTTGCAATGACAGAAATACTAGTGCAAACATAAAATGATTCACATATTTATACCTGTGTCATCATCATCTTGAAAAAATTGATGTTCTAAGATTGGATGCTCATTGAAATTTGGGGTTTAATAATCATGTTTAATAAAGCCGTTGTATTCTTGATTCTCTTAAATATGCTCCAAAAATAGTGTTCTTTTTTTTATTTTTATTTTTTTGACGTGAGAGGTTCTTGCTACCCATTATGAAAATGGGAAAGACAAATTCAAAGGTGATATTAGTTAAATAAATAAAGAGTAAATTAATCCTCATTGTGTTATTGCATTCTTTTAGATATTGCTATGAAGGATCTACTCTAATAAGAAGTACAAACACGTTGCAGATATGCGTGTCCAAATGTCTTCTTATTTTTTTAGAATCAGATATGCTTTTCAGACTGTTGGGAAATACATGTGTCCATCACTTCGGTAAACATGAAACACGTTGCAAGTTTGAAGAAAACAACTTGTGATCCAATAATAAAATAAAACAATGTGTATTTATACTTATTAATACCTTGTCATTTAGACTTTTTAATTTTAGGAATTCTAGAGCCCAAAATTTGCAGTTTGTCTGTGAATAAAGAATTTTTAACCAGATATTAAGGGTATGTTTGGTTTGAGTTTGGGAGATGAGTTTTAGAGATAAAAAGTACGAAAGGTTGTTTGGTTTGGTTTTTTTCAAAAGATGTTTTGGAGAATTATTTTGAGAGAGAGTTTTGGAAAAAGTGATTGATTTGATGTGTATGAGAGAGAGATTTGTTTGAAAAACTTGTAAACCAAACAAGTTTTGAGAAATTTTTTTAGGAAAATTTGTTTGGTTTGATTACTTTTGAAAACTTATTTGTAGAGATTTTTTCCCAAAAATTTTTGGGAAACACAAACCAAATAAGGCCTAAGACTTTTGCTTACACTTATTTTCCAATATATAGAATGTGAAAAATGATTTCTTACTGTTTTCGCATATTCAAATATAAAGGGAGTATCATTTCAGCATAGAAGACAAAAAATTATAAGAATAGGTAGGGGTGAAAGTTTTGTTGTGCTTTTCAACTACACAATAAAATTTGCACCCACAACAATTCTCACCCTTGTAATTTTTTGCCCCATTTCCCACTGACATGAAATTTGCCCAAATATAAATATATCTATAATGTAAAAAATAAATAATGGTTATTAATTTTATATAAAAATATTCATTTATTTATTGTTGTGTCTTTATATATATATATTTGAAAATTATGAAGTTGGACTCTATTATATACAACTGGTGATATTGCTTTGATGTGACTGACCTGTGGGCCTACTGCTGGAGGTCGCTGAGATTACACAAGACGGTAGATTTGGCATATTGCCTGCTACTTAACCAGTTGACACTTTTGGGTATGGGTTTCCAGATGCTGTTGGAGCTGTTGGACCTTCTAGTGGGATTCCAAAGGTTTTGGAAGGCTCTGAATGCCGTTGAATGCCTTCAGGAAGGCATTGGGTTACTATTGGAAGTTGCTGAAGTAACACCGTTTGGTTGTTTGGGAGCCAAGCACGGGACTTGTGATGCTAGGGGCATGTCCAACCCCTACATCTACTAAAATATGCTGAGCGGACAAGGAATTTGATACATGTTAAACTCAAATATATATACAAAAGAGATCCAAAAGAGAGAAGAAAGGGAAAAGGACATTTCCCGTTTGCTTTGAGCCTGCTGAGTGAGCTAAAAGCTTCAATCTGAGCTGTTACAAATTGATAATGGGCTTTGGGGGCCCATTCTTGCTAAACCAAAATAATGGGGAACATTTGGGAGAGTGTTCAAGGGAGAGAGAGTGTCAAGGTGGTCTCACACCTTTGGGATGTTGAGTAAGCCACTGGTCAGGACTGATATGAGTTGATTGTAGTTGATATAGAAGAGAATAACCATAGTGGTTGGTAATTTTAGTGAAGTGAAGTAGTTTCAATTATTGCTGGAGCTCGCATAACTGCCATACAGAATATTATTTTTAGAGGGATTGTGCAGGTTTAGAAGGGTCATTTAGAAGTTGGCTAAAAAGAGTTTTGGAACTCCAGAATGCCTGGGCCTTTTCCTTGGAATCTTTTTATATAACACTTAAAAGGGTTGAGAATTGACTTGGAGGAGTAGAGAAGTCCTCTATTTGTAATGGAAGAGAGGCCTTCTGATGGTAACAGGTGGTTAGGAGCAGTTAATGCTCTGAAAGACTTGTCTGCAATCAGGAAAGATATAAGCTCACAGATGAAAAACTTATTTCCAAAAGAACTAAACCTCTAGCAGAGTGACATAGCTTGTAGGATATAGCTGGTCTAATGGTTTTTGGCTTTAACCAATGATATTTTGACACCTAAACGGTGAGACCAGACCTAGAGGAGTATTTGAAAGGAGCACTCAAAGGACAACCAACTCCTCCTCTGGCCCTCCAGCAGTCATTACTAATTAGGTCCTTTAGACAATGTCACGCCTTCAAAGCCATTGCTTCGAAGATTCCTTAGTAGGCTTACCACTTGTTCAATTACCTGAGGGCGATGAAATATGATGAGTTCTGATTTTAGGGTCATAAATGGGCTAAATAACTGCTTGAGTAATGGTTTGGTTTGGGTAAATGGGCTAAGCAACCTCCATTTGGGCTGAAATTAGATCAAAATGCCCCAAATTAGATCTCCAAGGTAATTTATCCCCCCAAAAAAAAAAAAAAAAAGGTGTCCAAGGAATTTGGAAGAATTATTTGAAATTTTTTTGTTTCTTCATTAGGTGGTATTGAACCCAATTGTACTAGGTAATTTTTTATTTGGGGGACTTATATGTAGGTCTTAATAAGTGGACTTATTGTCCAATGAGTCTTATGATAATTTATGGCGTTTTTCATCAAACAATATTAAAAAAACGCCACTAATTGTTAATTTTCAGTGACAGTTTAAAAATTGTCACAAAAATGTCACTAATTATAAGTTTTAGCAACAGTTTAAAAAAATCGTCACAAAAAAAATCACTAATTTTCTACTTTCAGCGACAATTTGAAAAATTTGTCACATAAAAACGTCACTAATTGTAAGTTTTAGCAACAATTAATAATAATCGTGATTAAAAAAAGTAGCCAATTGTTAATTTTTAGCGACATGCAAAAAAGCGTCACAAAAAAAAATATTTTTAGTGACGATTTACTAGGACTAACTTTCAATAGGACTTAATGGGAATTAAATCAAACTATTAGGACCTATTGGTAGTTTTACCCTTCTTATTTTTAATTTCTTTCTTCCCTAAATGTAGTCGAAGCAAAGAAGGGGTTGGAAACAAGAGTTAAGATCAAATTTAGTGGATGAGTGTTGGAATCCAATATACAGCTCTATGTTTGGTTATCATTTTTTTATTGCATTTTGATTAAATATGATGTTCAACCAAGTTTTTCCGGTGGATCAAAAGATATAAAGAATGCAGAGTTTGAACGATTTGTTTGACCCTTTCATAGAGTCCCTTCGCTGCATTTTCTAGGATTCCTATCTCTAATCAATTGGTATAATGTGATTAGAGCCTTGGTACTTTCAGTGAGTGAAGGATGAAAACAAGTTGTAGGAGATAACAAAAGGTTGGCCAACAAATGAAATTGATTGAAATACCTGCTTTCTTAGGGGACCATCCCCTAGGGAGAAAAAAGACAATTTTCATTATGGTGGTATTCCAACTAGGGTTGTAAGCAGTCTGGTTTAGTTCGACTCGGTTTGGGTTGAGGGAAAATTTAGCATCGAACCAAACCCTTTGATTTTGTTGGTTGAGGAACCGAAACCAACCACATGCTATGGTTCGGTTTTGTTGGTTTTTCGATTTAGTGTAAAGGATGGATTCGCAGGAGGCTTTAAGAGATTTTATAGAAATTTGTAGAATCTCACATTGAGAATATATGAGGAAAAAGGGTGGAGATTGCTCTATAAATGTCTTCTCCCTTATCCTTTATGACAAAATGTGTAGTATTGGTCACTTATTTTCTGATACTAAAAAATTCAAAATAGAAAATTATTTAAATATAATATTTCTGCCGGTATTGGTGTGAAAATTTCAAAACTGAAGCAGGCCAAACAATATGCAAAACTGTCTGAAAATTGAAATTGAGCGGTTCCGTCATTTTTTTCTTAGAGTCCTAATTTCCGCCTACTATACTAGAATTGGACCACCTCATCCTTTCTTGTCAAGGGCCAAAAGCTTTTGATGATAGGGGGGTTTGGCTTAGTGTGTTCACCGTAAGTCTCACACTATTTATTTATGATTTTTTTTTGATAGTAACAATAAGGACATTGATATTTTTGAAAGAGAGAGAATTACAAGGAATTAGAAGAATACGAAGGAATTTCTATTGCTATAGGTTATGTGAACCAAACACGGGGAGCATATAGAGGAATTTGCAGATATGCATAGACATCGAAGAATGTAACACAAATATATTGTTTGTAAGGGTGGGCAGAAAGGTATTTTAGATTCTGTCCCTTATGCATTTGTTCTATGTTTTTATTTTCTCAATTTTGACCATGAGTTTCAAATTGTGTCAATTTGGTCCATTGCTGCGTAATCGCCTTGTTTCACCTAAAATCTTGAAACCTCAGGTATAGAGAGGAGAATAATGTCAGTTACATTGATATTGAATTATTATGGAAATTAATTAAAGAGCTAAAAATTCTCTGTTGGCAGTAGGTGATGTTTTATGTGTTAGCCTATTGGCCTCAACGCAATGATACATTTGGCAGAAGATGTTGGATTTGACTTCATTGTATTATCTTGTATTTTACTTCTCAGCTGAGATTTTGTTTTCTATGACTAAAAACTCTCTTCATACAGGTTGCTGACTGGGTCAATTTTAGCTCATGAGATGATGCACGCGTGGCTTCGACTTAATGGTAGTTCCCCATACCATGACATGTAGCTATTTCAAATGTCATTGCAAATCCAAATGAAATTATATCATCTCATTTATTTTCTTGGCTTCGGAAAAATAACATTCTTTTTCTTAATATTATTAAAGAAAATATCACGTTAATTTTCAGAAATGATTTCTTTCATATTAATTGGCAGGCATAATACTGTGATTGCTTTGTTTTATGATCCTTGTGATTTCTTTGGTTTAGACAACTTGCTTTTTGAGTGTTGCACCAAAAAAAAAAAAAAAAAAAAATAATAATAAATAAAAAAAACATTTGTTTGAAGTGCTGATATAATTGTTATTTGTTTGAAAGGTTACCGAATTCTAAGTCAAGATGTAGAGGAAGGTATCTGTCAGGTTCTAGCTCACATGTGGTTAGAATCTCAGATTATGTCAATATCAGGCAGCAATGTTGCATCAACCTCGTCCTCTGCGCCGGTTTTAACATTATCAAAGCAGGGGACAAGGTCTCCATTTGAGAGGAAGCTAGGGGAGTTTTTCAAACACCAGATTGAATCAGATACATCTCCAGTGTATGGAAATGGATTTAGAGCAGGAAACCAGGCAGTCCTGAAATATGGCCTTTGGACAACCCTCGAGCACATTAGATTGACGGGGACTTTTCCTTATTAAAGTATATATTGAGCCTGAATTTTGAATGGCATTTTGTGATTGATTTGTTCAGAGTGAAGTTTTGCCTCTTCACATTAGGAGGACCTTAGAACCAACCTATAGAGTGTAGTTAGAAATTTTTTGATTTCTATACCTTGTAAATGTTGTCCAGTTCTGTACTTTTAAAGAAAATTAATAAAATTATACTGTTTTACAAAGTTTGTTCTTTACTAGTGAACTTCATTAGTAGAAACTGAATGATGCAAGTCTTGTTCCCTTTCTCAATCCTACTCTGAATGATTCTGATTGTGCAAGTGAATTTTCAACAGAGTAGACACTACCTCAACCATGCTTCGTCTGCTTGTTGGATCTTGTTAGTAAACTTTACTGGTACTGTTTGTTCCCTTGCTGTTTTTGCTAGACTGAAATTTGCGAAAACTTCTCCATTAGATTTCTGTTAACTAGATGGAACATTACTCTCTCTTAAAATCCTTGTGCATGTAGCCTGGCTTGTTAAAACTGTGAAGTTAGTGAAGTCCATTGGCGAAATCCAGGGCAGTCTGAGTCATTTTGTGTCCAGTTTGCAGTCTTGTTTGAACTTTCCTCGTGAAGCATTTTTGTTAGTGAACCGGTGGTCATGTACTAAAAAAATAAGGTAGGAACAGCAACGAAGTATGCAAAAAGCATGAAGATTTATCAGATTGAAGGGGTTTGATCTTGTTTGACATATTCACTTCCTTTGGATACATCCATACCGATATCTAGAACTTCCTCAGTAAGCACTCCACGGTACACAGCACCCTTTTCTACTATTGAAACTGAACAAGTTAATCTATAGCCTTCTCAAGTTCGTCGCAAATGAGAGTAGAAGACCAGTAGAGTATTTGTGTCCAGTTTACATGTTTCCACGTAATTTATACTTGAGTCATGCATTATTCGGAACTCACAAAAATATTAAAACTTATATTCAAAACATGGTCATAGAAGACCAAACAAAAATAGAACCAAAGCCTCTAAGATGAGGCACTCCAAGGTTTGTCATCACAAAACCACAAGCTCCTTTTGGGTTGACTCTAAGGCTGGACACCCGGTTGTTCACCTACATACATAAATATAAAGAGTGAGCGAAAGTCTAGTGAATAACATTAAAATAAAAAAGTTATATGAATGAGTTCTATTAAGTAACATAAGTATTGCCATATCATAAACAATTCATAATGGAACGACCTTTGGTCCAACAGATGGCAGAACGACCTCGGGTCCAACAGATGGCGGAACGACCTCTGGTCCAACGTATAAAAGATGTGCAGAATAAAAATTGATCATATCTTAATGGAACGACCTTGAATCCAATCATTTACAGCTGTATAACAGTCACCTCATAATAGATAATCAGACTTATCAGATATTCATAATGACTTTGGGTCCATCTTGTCAAATATACAGAACGACCTTGGGTCCAATTCAGATATATAGAACGACCTTAGGTCCATCATACATATTCGTGTCACATTAATCACATTTACAGTTATTATGTTGATCAGACAAATAGGAACTCATTCACATTTGCAAAATCACGAATTCAGAAAACCTACTACATTAAGACATTCAGAAAATAGAGTAAATAAGAAAATATCTTTACTAAAATATTACTCACAGTGATTCGAGTGTTGTCAAGCCTCCGTGATCCAACCTACACAACACTTAACACATAACACACATTGGAACATTTGGCCAATTCAATTCATTCCTTCCTTAATTAATTCTTCTCAAACTCATTTCTTACTTATTAGGTCAATTATGAAGCCTAATTCATGCCTAATATTGCTTGGAAGGAAGACAAAATGAGAATATGAACAAAATGTAATTTCCCAAAACATGCTGAAATGAGCCTGACCGCTCGAGCGGACCTTTGGTCGCTTGAGCAGTGTAACGCCCCCAATAAAACAATCCAAATGATCCAACTCACAAGAGACATAAGTGTAATAGAATTAATATATTTTCATTCATCAGAGTTTGTATTACAAAAGGTATTACATGCATCACACATTTATAAATGTTCATTTTGAATCTATAGCATGCAATGCTAACTTAATAACAACAAAACAATGTCCTATGGGCTTACATCTTTCCAAAACATTGCTTGGTTACAACAAAAGAGAGTCATAAGCTCTGTACATATAAAGCCCTAGGTTTAAATAAACATTTAAATACAAGTAACAAAATAGAGCCTCCAGCCCCTAAGTCCTTCCAAGCTACATCATTGGAGGAAGCATATCACCAGTACTTGAAAATGGTTTCCCAAGTAAGGTGAGCCAAAGCCCAGTAGAAGCAGTCTAACACAATATATGAGATTTAATTAAGATATAAGTGTCAGATATGTTCCATGTTTATGACAGATGCACATTCTTTGCATGATCATACGATACCGACATTCACATCTAAATCCACTTCCATTTATTCATTTCAGATTAGTTTATTTCATTTCAACTCATAGACCACATTTATACTTTTCCGAATAACCCAACTGAGACTACAACCCAGTGGTTTTCAGTCAACATAACTATCACATAAACACTTCAATCTTGTAATTTTACGAAAATTTTGTCTGCGGGATCGACACCCATGTATACATAAGATTTCGAGACTTTCACCCTGGACACTCCGACCAACTTAATTTTCAATGGAGTCCATCCCCTATCTCCTCCCAAAATATGGAGTACATTCCCTTTCTCCTCCCAAAACATTATATATATACAATGTATTTACAAGTATCGTCATATTCAATAACATTCAATTATACATATTTAATGTCTCAATACACCGCCATAGTCAATGACATAGTTAAATGATTAGTTTCAATTCACCTAATTCTCATGCAGTTTCTACAACAATCATAGCTATCCTCCACTGATAGCCCAATACAGATATTTTTAAACAGATATACAATATTCATAACAGATAATTTATCAAATTTCCATAGGTGAGTGATTTAAACAAATCCAACTACATCATTCTTTCATACATCATCCCAATCTCACATTTCTTATATCAATTCCATTATTTATACAAAATAAATTATCCGACATAAATTAGGGCAAATCTCTCATTTTTCCAAATATCAACCCAAAGGCTAAATTTCACCATGTTAACACAAGAGAGCTTCATATTCAAAACCCCATATTCATTTTGTAATCCAACATGGAAAAACCCCTCTTTTTAATTTGATCCCAAACCCTAGTTTACCCAAAATCACTCCCAAATCTCATCATTTATACATAACAACAAATATCTAGGTTAAAAGTCATATTAAGGTGTAGAATATCTCTACCTCAAGAGTAGAAGCCCAAAGGAGAAAATGAAGAACTTCAAGAATGCCCAAAACTCAACTTTGTTCGGATCAAATGGAAGCCCACAAGGTGCTCTACCTTTTTAACGAAGGGAATAGGGTTGAAAGATCCCTAAATCTAGGTGTATTTGTAGAGAGAGGAGGAGTCGATTTAGGGTTTTGATTAAAAAGGAAATCAAAAAGTGATGTAAAACTGCTCTGCTGCGAACTGATATATGCGACTCTCGCTCGAGCGAAAGAGTTGCCGCTCAAGCGACTAGACACAATAAGTGACCTCACTCGAGCGCAAGAAACGTCGCTCGAGCGCAAAATACATACTTTTAGAAGTTTTACAGACGCATACCGGCGCTTAAGCGCAAGAAGCCTTGCTCGAGCGAAGAACGATACCCTCCAAAGATTTCTGCAGGTCTGCAAAAATGCTGGGAACTCACAAAGCTCTTGCTCGAGCGAAGAAGCAGGTTTCTGGACAACAACCATTTGAACAATTAGTCACTAACCTGCCTCAAACATGCCCAAAACATTCCAATACTCAAAAAGGAAGGGAAAAAGAGGGAAAAATAAGAGACATGAATAACAAAATTAAGCCATGAAACCCGAGTACGGAATATAACAAAGGTCGGGTCAAAACCGGGATCGTTATAAATGGACTGCGCTGTCTGCAAAAATACTAGATGCTTGTTTTGTGCACTCGAGTGGTAGATAGACCACTTGAGTAGTGTGCAAATTTCCAAATTTCTTACTTTCCAAATTTCTTAAAAATGGCATCCAAACATATTTCAAAACTTGAATCCATATATGTCTTAATCAAAACCTTGAAAACACTTTAGAAAACATAAATGCATATTTATTTATAAACCATTTGCTCAAAATCTCATCAATTTAACAAAGATTGAACCAAAATCTCCATGCATGTACAATTTCCAAACTCATTTTTCTTTGAAGATCAAAACTTGAAATTGAACATATAAACCCATGAATTTCTAAAACAATAATTATAAGCTTTCATGCATCCAAATCCAAAATCATGAAACATGATTAATAATTAACTTATTTGAATCAAAACCTATATTTTCATGAACTCATGGTTTCCAAAACTTTTTTTCAAAATCAAATGTACAATGAAATTGCATGGCTCAATTCCTAAAAATTCATAATGCATGTAATTTATAAAGCTTAATTTAACTGTAACTTTCAAAATAAAACCCAAAATTGATGAAACTACAAATTATCTTCCATGAACATGCTTGTAGCTCAATTCCTTCATCAACTATCTAATTTTCTTCTCATTTCATAAATATAATTCCAAACTCTTCTTAATCTCAAATGTGTTGTAAAGATTTTACATAAATTGAACATAAATTCCATGCCTTAAGCTTTAATTCCAACAAAGTCAGTTGATTTCTTCCTTAGCTTTCTACTTCATTTCCCATTTTCGGCACGAAAGTGGGTTTCTCCCTCTAAGATCTTGGACTCTCTTTCTCTTTCTAAAATGCTCTAGCAGAACATGGCTATAAACCCACCTCTCTTTCTGTGACTTCTTGAACTCTCTCTCTCTCTAACTTCTTTCCTTAGCAAACAGAAAATGAAACACACTTCTTGACTTCATCAAGATATACACACACGCATCTCACTTCTTGACACCACACAAGCACAAGTGCACACACCCTTGAATTCCAACACATCATTCACATGCGCGTGCGCACACACAAATTTCTCAGCACACTCACATCCACATGAGCCGTGATTCCAACCCCAGTACGGTGGCACCCCCAGCACCCCCACCTCTACGTGGGGAGCTGGTAATGGAGGAAAAGAAGGAAAAAAAAAAAAAAGTTTTTGACCATGGGAGAAGACCCCAGCACCCCCATT